GCAAAAGCATGGACGTGATGTTGTCTGGGGGTTTGGCAAAAGGAGAGTGGGACGGTGGGCGGTGCTCGGGGGTGGTGACTGAAGGCCGTGACTGTGTAGTTCTGACGCCAACTTTTCACGGAAGTCACAACGGTTCGTGAGAAATCACAGCTACTTTATGCAGGCTGTGTGCATTTTACTGTGGACTGACTGTTTTGAAGCTTATATGGTAGTTAATAGCCGCTAGACCTCAGTTATCGTGAAAAAAGCCAGGAAATTTCAGTTTTGACAATATGGGACCTTTAAAGTGAAAAATAGTACATTTACAGTTAATGATTTTTCATGGCAGTAACTGTTTATTCTTAGTTTTTTCTTGTTAGTTATGTATATTGTTTTATGTTGTCAGTATCAGTGTTTAGTATGACTGAGATGCTATTAAAGATTTATTAATATTTTCAATTACGTTTTAATTTCTATTTTAGTTCGTTTTAGAAATTTTGTTTTGTGTTTTTTTTTAAATATGTCTATAGTTTTTATTTATATTTTGAGTTTTTATTTTTGTGTTTCAATTTAATTTTAAAATTTGTGTTTATTATAAAACTTTTGTTTTATTATAAAAAAATGGTTTTTATTCATTTTTAGTTATTTTAGTACATCAAGATAAAGCAAAAAAATCAGAAATGTTGCTTTGGCAACTAGATTAAATAAAATATTTTTTTTAAATATTGAAATAATTTTTTTTTTTATTTTATTTTATATTCTAAGCAAGTGACCTTTTTTGTTTTAGTAAACTATAATAAGCCTCGCCAGTATATTATAAAGGTAAAATACTGATTATAAACCGGATAGTTCCGGTCCTTGATTCTGATTGGCTGAGCCGTGTTCGAAGCTGTTGTAAATGACTCTACAAAGTAACATACATCTTTGTTTACGTTTGTCTGTTGCTCGGCAACCACTTTGTAGCAAACACAACTGTTTCTGAGGAGCTACATTGTTTGGTGGAAGAATACTGTTTTTATTAATATCATTACACTTTATTTGCTCTGTTTTATTTTGTGAAACCTTACTACGTATATGGAATAACCGTTTTATAAAAGCAATAAGCCCCACGAAGCCGTGGTTTACAGTGAATTTATAACAGCTAAGGGGGTTTTAGGCACTCCACAATGCCCCTTAGCTGTTATAAATTCACTGTAAACCACGGCTTCGTGGGGCTTATTGCTTTATTTTAGTAATTTGATAACACTACTTCAGTATTTTGTATTTTATAACAGTAAAAAACTTTTTTTTTTAACCATAAATTTCACATATTTGTATTTTTTACAGTGCATTTCTGTGTATTTAAAGACAGCGGGCGTCACACGTCTTACTGTTGATGTCTTTGGGTGACATGTAAAATCCTCCCGAGGAGGAGCTGATGTACTGAAGGCTGCTGCCGCTCTCAGATGCCATGAATCCATCCTGATGCTCCGCTAGCGTTCCCTGAGACGACAGATAGCTCGGGATGTCCGCCGGAAGATTCGTCTCATCTAAACACGAGAGAGAGACACAGGGTTAGCAGCGTTAAACATCACCGATGCATTAAAATCTAGGGCCCAATGAAATCAGTTTTATTTTTTCCTAAATTCCGTTTAATTTTTTTCCAAATTCCGTTTTTTTCTGTTTAAATTTTTCCGGATTCCGTTTTTTTCCGTTTTAATTTTTCTCGACTCCTTTTTAATAGTTAAATTAAATTTTATTAATCAAAAAGCATGTCTAATTAATTAAAATCATGCAACTTATAAATTTTCACAACAATTTATTAAAAGTTTAACAAAAATTACACGTTTAGGGCCCAATGAAATGTTTTATTTTTCTCACCATATTTTTTATTGTTACCAAATTCTGTGTTTTAGCATGTCTAATTATTTGAATGCATAAAACATTAATTTAATTTGTCTTTTAATTACTGAAAATTAAGCAACTTTATTTTTTGGCAAACAAAGGGGATTTACTATTAAAATTAAAACATGGAAGAAATGTGTGATTATTCCTTAAAAAATAATGTTTGTTTCATTTTAGCAGTAGTAGGTTATGTGCATTCTACTGAAAAATAGTAATAGGCACAATGTCTTCAAATCAAACCGGACTTTTATTTTGACGGGTTGCCGTGAATACCTTTACAGTTCTGTGTATGTGATATGACGCTAGTTTTACTCAAATCAAACTGTCAAATGCTCGTGAAGTGACTCTCAGAGCAGTTCTGGAGATGTTGTTCATGTGTTTACGTCCTCATTTAGTGAGACGCAGACGCTGAAATCACAGCGCGCTTCAGTATGTGTGTAGTAAATGAAACCGCACGTCTGCGCCATTCATTAACAGAGACACGCAGAACATGCAGGATTCATATTTAAATAGTCTTTTGCGGCTTAATATTTACAGATACTAGTCCATATCGTGATTTGATTTAAGTGTAATTACCTACTTTTGATTAATTCATTCAAAATTTGACAAATTCCGTGACATTAAATTCCGTTTTTATGACTGGATTCCGCGATTCCGTCCGCTTTTTCCGCATCACAGAAATCATAGGGCCCTAATTAAAAGCGTGCGATGTCGGGTCAGGACTGACCCGTGTTGGTGACGCTGCAGTCCTCGTTGCGTCGGCGCGTGTGATAGATGATCACGACCCACACCAGCGAGGTTCCCACCACGCAGCACACCACAGCGATGATCACGATGCCCACCGTAGTCCAGCCGTCCTCCTCCGGCCCCAGGGCCCCGCCGGCTGCCGGCCCCGAGTCACAGTTTGGGTTGGGCATGACGGTCAGACGCAGGTTCCCTCGCTCCGTGCCCAGCGGGTTGGACATCTCGCAGGTGTAGGTTCCTGCGTCTGCGTCCGCGGCGTCCACGATGATCAGCAGCTGGTTCCCGGCGGCGAAGAAGTGTCGCTCCGTCACCTGCAGCGGACTGTCGTCTTTGGTCCAGTTGAGTCGAGGCGGAGGACTGCCGCCCGCGATACACTGCAGCACCGCCGTCTCGCCCTTCACCACCACACGGTCCATCAGCGGACGCAGGAACGACGGCGTCTCTGCAGGAGCAACGGGACGTTATTTCATGACACTTCAGGAAAAATACACACTAGTGCGGTCAAAAAAAATAAATTTCACCCAGAACCGAAATTCTCACAATATCCATTCGTTTGAGGATTACTGCAAAACCAGTAATAAGGGTCAATTTTATGAAATTGAGATTTATGCATCATCTGAAAGCTGAATAAATAAGCTTTCCATTGATGTATGGTTTATTAGGATCGGACAATATTTGGCCGAGATACAACTATTTGAAAATCTGGAATCTGAGGGACCAAAAAATTCTAAATATTGAGAAAATCATCTTTAAATTTGTCCAAATGAAGTTCTTAGCAATGCATATTACTAATCAAAAATTAAGTTTTGATATATTTACAGTAGGAAATTGACAAAATATCTTCACTGATCATGATCTTTACTTAATATCCTAATGATTTTTGGCATAAAAGAAAAATCAATAATTTTGACCCATACAATGTATTGTTGGCTATTGCTACAAATATACCCCAGCGACTTAAGACTGCTTTTGTGCTCCAGAGTCACATATGTGGTTTTGATGCTCTTTAATGTGGTGTGACAGATCACTATATAATAATTACAAAAAATTAAATAAAAAAATTAAAACAATTTTATATAATACACAAAAAATATCAAAATATTTTATGCATGCATTAGAAGACACAGCAGACGTTTAGCAGGGAAATACAAAAATATATAAAACAAACTTTAAACATTAAATACAGCTAGTGCTAGTAAGTTATTGTGTTTGATTAAATTTTGAATATATAATTATATTACATTTTCATTAGATTTTAGATTACCTGTTAGTGATGTCTTTATTGTTTAATGTATGTTTGATTATACTTACATGGACATATATATAATATAAATAAAATTATTACATTTAAAAAATGAAGTCATTAAAATGTTGATAGAAAAAGTGGCGTAAAGTTTTTCTAATTATTTAAATATATAAATGACAATAATTATATTCCAGAAATTAATTAAAAAGTTTCTAGAAAAACTGCCTTTATGCCATTTAAAATGTTTTCTATGCATTAAATTTGATAAATTAATGATAATTTTTTAAATTATTTAGAATACAGTCTTTCTTTCTTTATATACTTTAGTTTTCAGCTAAATTAAGTCTTTAATTTTGGTTTCGTAATATAATTATTTTGGTGCATCATTAGTAATGTCACTGTTTTAGAATAAACACATTTCTGCCAGACACATGCATCCTCTCACCCAGCACTGTTAGCGTAGCGTTAGCAGAGACGGCGCCGGCGGTGTTTTGCGCAGTGCAGCTGTAAACGCCGACGTCCTCCGTCTTCACGTCCACGATGAAGAACACGTCGTCTCTCGGCATGACGTGCATCCGCCGCTCGCGGGCCGCAGGGAAATCCGTGCCTCCGTCCTTCTGCCAGGCGATCTGAGGAGACGGGTGTCCGCTAGCGGCGCACTCCAGTCGCGCGGTGGCTCCGGCGCGGATCGTCAGGTCCATCGGCATTTTGGTGAAGTACGGCAGCACTGCGGGGGAAACAGATGAGGGATGGTTTTCACAAACTCAAGGAAATTCAACTTTGCAATTTTAACACATTTGGGACAGTAAAAAAAAAAAGCATCGTTTTTTGTTAGGAAACAAAACTTTGCAAACGCTTTAACAGGGTTTCTACAGACATGAACAAGTTAAATTTAAGACTTTTTAAGACCTTTTTAATACCACCTTAAATTAAATTTAAGACCTAAACCTGTAATGGAAGTACACATTATATTACATACATATATGTAATATTTAATGTGTTTAACGTAAAAAGAAAACAAAATATCATCACTGTAATAAATTATATTTATTACTAAGATACACAGTGAACTTTTCATATCAGAAGACAATATTCCATTCAAAATATCCCCACAAAAGCACTGCATCACCAAGATTTTTGGTGGTGCAAACAATTTATTCTGAAGGAATATTTTCATCAATGTTCTATCAATTTAAAAATGCTTATTTTTATTTACCTTTACAAAGGCCTATTTTTACAAATGCATAAATAACGTTTTGATATATTAAACATAAAACGTTAAATACTGATATTTGAAATTATTTAAATAATAAAAAGGTACTTTAAATGTGAAATTAAAACCGCCAGTAGGTGGAA